CTAAATGCATGGTATATTCTGGTTCCAGCTTATAAGAGCTGTATATATTTTGATCTCTATAAATGCACACCCTCTCTAAGTGTACACTTTTTATTTTTTTTATTATGGTTTCAAGAGGGGTGCACTTAGAGAGTATTTATTTTATCTTGCGTAACATTTGAGAGTAATTAAAATAATTAACTCGCGTTTGTTTAAATATTAAAAAAGAATAAAAATATATATATTATATATATCTTATTTAGGTCTGTCAAAACTACAAGTTTCTCCTTGTTTAAAACTGCCCCTCCCTGTATCATCTCTTCCAATGATTCAGACCCGGTCTTGTACATAGGTTATGAGTTTTGGAAAATTGTAATAGACCTGGGTATAACTGTGTATTATACCATCCCGTGATTCAGCTCCGGTATTTTATATTCTACTCAAGGAAATTCGATTTATATGATAAAAATAATATAAATACAAAACTACTGATGATCGTTGCATTTTAAATGAGTTTAGGTATTATATTCTCCATTAAATATATCCCCCATTTAATATACCCCCTTTACACAAAATCCCCAATATAAAAGACCCTTTCTCCTTATAATATACCCACCAGGTATAAATCAATTTACATGAGGGTAGAATGTAAGAGACCCCCGGGGGGGGGGGGGGCAGTTTGCACGTCATTTTATGGTAAGGTTATCATATATATTTTATTTTAAAATAGTTAACTGCAAGAAAAATAAACAATGACGATTAAAAACTTTGTTTTTTTCATATACAGTAAGTTGTCTGTTGATTATAATAAAAATATCACTAAATTGGGATCCAGTTTTAAAGTGTATTTTTATCTGGATACGTAAATATATTGTCTGTATAAAAATATTAATGCAATTATTTTGATGATTATTTTTTCCTTTTTAAGGTGCCACATAATCTATATAGGAATTGAGAAGTTTCTAATAAGTGTATTTCAATTAAGCATGGCCATTATTGTTTTTGTTTTGCAATTCGGCGATGGCATCACATAAAATTTCTGCCCATTAGAAGAACGATAATCTTAACATTACGATGGTTTTGACATACATATTATATTTGGTTGTGACGTTAGGAAAACAAAAAATCATTCATTACGCGCGTCAATGTTATTATTTATTGTATAACTTCTAGTAAAAAAATTCTAGATCTGTTGCGTATGCACAAGCATTTGAATGTAGTTCTCTTGTAGATAGTTTTTCCGCTTTTTTTTCTCTTCGACAGAAGTTTTTCCGTTTCTTCTTTGCTCTCCAGAGAAAATAGAATAAAGCATCTTTCTTGTGTATTCTGATTTCTGACTTTTGGCAATCTTTCATTAAATTGCTAATAATTTATCTTGTGTAACATCGAGGGTAATTAACTCAAACAATAAAAGGAATATCTTACTTGGGTCTATCAAAACAGTTTTTCCTTGTTTTAATTAAGGTTTATCATATATATTTTTTATTTTAAAATAGTGACAATTTGTTTATTCATATATATAAAAATATAAACGTTTTTTTTATTGCGATTATTTTGACGATTATGTCCTTTTTAAGGTTTTTTATAGGAATTGAGAATTTTCGAATAAGTGGTCTTTGGGTGTATTTCAATTAAGTATGGCCATTCGACGAGTTACAGTCAAGGTTAGCTTATATATTAGCGATGACATAAAAATTTCTGCACATTAGAAGAACGATAATCTTTAACATTACGATAGTTTTCATATGCTTCTCTTGGGATGGAAATTCTAGTTTGACATACATATATTTGGTTGTGATGTTAGGATGGAAAACAAAAAATGTAATGCAGATTATGCTTTAATTTTTATCAATACGACAAAGCGAGAATTATTAGGGTTACACGTGTATGAAAAAAAAACCAAAAATTCCTTTATTGTATAACTTCTAGTAGAAAAAGTCTATCATCAATGAAACTGAAACATATATAGATCCGTTGCGTGGGCAGATTGTATGCACAAGCATTTGAATGTCGTTCTCTCGTTTTTCTCTCGAGATAGTTTTTCCGCTTTTTTTCTCTTCCAACAGAAATTTTTCCGTTTCTTCTTTGCTATCCCTAGAGGGAACAAGCAAATAGAACAAAGCATTGAACGAGAAAGGGAAAATCAATCAGGTCTATTAAATAATGGTTTTAAAAGTGTGCATTTTTCTTGTTTCAATTTCTGGTTTTTTAAATGTGATTTTCAAAAAAGATCGGTACGCAATTAAAGAATGCATTTGCGTCTGTGTTTCGTACCGTTCTTCCCTATTGTTTATTGACAATTGTGGGATAATTCATCTTATGTGGTAATCTGTGTCAGTTAAATGAGTTTAGCATTTAAAATGTTTTACCACTTACATACTACTCGCATATCAGATCATCCAACCATCTTTCTTTATGTTGTCAGAAACACGTATTCGAATTACCCTCATATAAAAAAACCCAATTTAATTGATAATTTTATTGAGGAATTAAACATGGCAAATCAATAATTCGAATTGGTGTCGAACGTGTTTTGGTTTTTGGCGTGTTGAAGTTTGTATCGAATTTCATGTGTCAGTGATTCAACATCTTCTGTTTACGCATAAAAAATATCAGATCGGGTATGATGCGAATTAAGGGAAAGATATCCTTTACAGAGAAAAAAAAATGCACGGTTCATTTTTTAATATACCAATTGGATGGCGCTACACGAAAATTAATTTTTGAAGGTTTACACAAGATTCAGTATGAACATGTATGAACTATACAAACAGATCAGAGGATTATGCACACATTGACACAGATCTTATTCTTCGACGACGAAGCACTCCCATGCTTAATCACGTTGATCAAGCAGCAAAACATGCTTTTATGCAGGGTGACAATGCGTACATGTCCTCTGTGTGACAAGCTTACCTCGTTTCATTATATTGTGATAAAATCAATAAAAAAAAGATGCTGATATGACCGATAGTATAACAGTATCAGGTATATTATTTTTTTCAATGCGATTTTGGTGCTGCTGCTGATGATGCTGATGATGTTGATGATGATGATGATGATGTAAATGATGATTTCACTCGTTTTATAAGTTTTTTTTTTCCGTGTGTGAGAACATGACAGTACATGACAATAATACCCTTATATATATGCGCTATACGTGCAGTTTCCTGTTTGAGAGTAGACAGACGGACAGACATTCAATTCACAATATATTGTCCTGTTGGCTCTATATGCTATTGACGATGAGTGAATGACGGACTACGAACTACCCATTACCCTTCCATCCAAACATCGAACACATAGACCACCATTCAAACAAAACTTTCATTGTTCTTGGAAATTTTTTTTTGACATGTATTTATATGGATGAGTACTTTCTCCCATTCTATCTTCATATATTTTAATACAAGCGCTTTTCTTTCCTTTGAAAATCGGTACCAAACACAGACCATTAATTATATAATTTATAATATAAAAAAGTAAAATAAAAAAGCCACACGCGCAGAAATCACAAGTAGATACATATTTGAATGGGATTACTTTACCTGCATAATACATACAGTATAAAAATTTTTTTTATTTTTTTTCTCTCTCTTTTTTTGATTTTCATTATTGTTATTTTCTTCCCATTGAGAAATTATTTTTAGCAATGATACATTCGAATTTAAAGTAAGAGTATTATGTAATAAAGAAAAGTTACCGCCCAACCACTTACTAGGTTAATTTTTACCATGGCCCACCATTGAAACCGAGTCAAATGAAAGGAAAATGACAAAAAACCAAATCGCTCGAATTAAGGAGCTTAAGACATATTAGGTAATAATCTAAGAAATCCCTCGATACTAATCTAAAACACAACGGCCACACGAAGCACAAGTACACAAGCAAAGCAAAGAAGCAAACCGTCGTGAAAATATAGGGAAAAAAAACAGCCAAAGGATTGGTGGACCAGGCAAGCAAGGGTGATGCCATCATCAGAAAAAGTTATAAATATGAAGCTTTTTCGGTCTCTTCGTCGTCAAGTACGGGCTGAAGCTAATTAATTAATTAAGTTAATTAAGTGCAAAAAAATTTTACGATTTAATGAGAAAAAAGCTGCATCACTTATTATTGTTGTCTTATTTTCTTCGTTTTCTTTTTTTGTTCTCTTTCGCTCAAGCCCTAACCCTAACGAACACGTACATGATCATATAATACACACATTTTTTACTTACTTACCTTTAGTGACCTATCTGCATTAACTTAAAGCAATTTAGTCTTTCTAAAAATAAGTATTCCAAACAACACGTCACACCTTTTTTTTTTCTATTAACATTCGCGCAATTAAACAACCGAAAAACAACAAAAACACGCTTGCTTGCACATATACACCTCGTAAACAACAAAAACAACAACAATAACACCAACAACACCACTACAAGAAGCAAGATACGCATATTTACACACACAATCCCAATCATTAAAGTATACTACAGAACTTTAAACATTTATGTGTACATTTCACTAAATTATTATTATTTATATTGGAAATAATAATCACATATCACACAAGAAACAAGCAAAAGAACAATTGGTGTTTATCTATCCCTTCTCTGGTTTTTTGTAACAAAAAAATTTTTTTGACAAGTTAATCAAAAAAACGACAATCAATAATTAATTAATAATATATTATACGAATATATTATATTATTCCAATAATAATAATCATCCTAATTATCATCATCTAGTATATAATCTCACTCTTCCTAATCTCCCAAAAACTTTGTAACATACAAAAAAATACGACACAAAAAAAAGAGAACGATTATATACATATATTTTTTTCTTTAATGAAATTTGATTTTTAATTTACAACAATCTAACGAATATATATACCACAACAAAAAAAAACCACCCAAGACGAGAAAGTTTTTAACTTTATCGCATCTTTAAAAAACAAGACAAAAACGACGCAAGAATCACAATAACATTAAAGTATAACCCTAGAACCACCACAAAACCCAACAAAAACTCTAAAAATGGTCCTATTAGTATTAACTGACCGTATTCGAAGGGCAGTCTTTGTCGCTATGGAATCTCCAGAATTTGATAGCGAGGCGAAAGCAAGACTCAAGTCATACATCAAAGGAAGTTCTTGTCTTCCACTTGACCTGGTCAAAGAAGTTTCAAAATTTCTGGTCAGTCGCGATGGAAAAATTGGTCGTGAGATCGGTAAGTTGCTCTTATTTCCCGTTCCCAAACAGAACAAATCACACACAATCTCTCACACACACCACCTCCTACATTCCAAAAAAAATTATTGTCGGCGGTATCGGAGTGTGCTGAGTTTTGTGTGTGTGTGTGTGTGCTTTGACCAACATCCTTAATCAAGTTTTGTCCATAAAAAGAAATTGCATCTGTCAAAGAGAAAAATTATGGTAAAATAAATCTTCTTAATTAGGGATATTGGGCCACACTATCCCCTTAATAACAAACAAATACAAATACTTACATAATTTTTCCCATAAAAAAAATTACCCACACAATACAATAAAATTTTAGGTCTATCAAATTACTGGTTACATGAATTACTCACGGGTAGCGGAGTCTATGTTGAGCAGCACAAAGAAAAATCAAAGGTATATACACTCCTACTATTCTAGACTTATAACTTCCACACTTCCCATTCTTGCCTTCATTTCCATTCTAAGTAACGCAAAAGACTACGATTTTTAACAATCTGCTATTACAACAGAACCCAAAACTGATTGCACGTCTCGAGGAAATTCTCGCCACACAGGCAAACAAAGAATACGCTCGTATGATTGGTCGTGTTGCATCATCGTATGATGTGGAAACGTTCAAGATTTTAGACACGGAAGAGTTTGCGTCGATTCGTGGTCAACTTACCGCTATTGTTAATATCACGTTTACCGTCGTGGCGGTGTTCGCTGCCGTATATCACGTTTCTCAAACTATCACCGGAGATACAGGAATGGTAAGCATCTTTTCCCTTCCTATTTCCATAATCTCGTGTGACGACGACTAATCATTTTCCGTTTTTCATTCATTCAAATAGCGTGTATTACTTGCAGGTTTTGGTGGCCTAATTGTGGGTGCAGCAGAAACCTTTTTATATATGCGATACTTGACTGGCTTTGGCAAAAAAAATAAGAAAACTACATCCTCTTCTTCGTCGTCAACCACCAACACAACCACAACGACGACGACGACGTCGACGTCGTCTTCATCACAAAAGACGAAGTCAACAAAATCACGAAAACCTGGTGCGCGGCGAGCGACATATTGCTCGAGTACCGCTTATATAAACAGCAAAACTGCTGGCGTGAACCCAACGCTTCCTAGTTACCGTATCAGTCATGTTCCTCATTTTGACAAACCATCATCGACTATTAACATTAATACTCGCCGAACACACATACCGAGAACCAAATCGCTATAATAACGGCAACGACCAAAATTGTGAAAACTTATACAAACAAACAATACTATCCATTCAGCTGCCAATTATCAATTATCATCCAAAATTTTATTTTTCTTCACACAAAATGTATATTTTTCTCTCAGATATATAACTTATATGTATGTTGCATCATGTATGCTAGGACTTTGAAAATTACAACAAAAGAGTTACCAACAAAACAGTCATTCATATATACTTATATATAAATTAGCACTTTGATAAAAGCGATTTCGCCTCCTGTAAATACCATGAAAGGATTTTACATCCATCTTTTTTGCATTTTTTTTATTTTTTATTTTTTTTTTTACTTCATTTTGGAATTTTTCAGAACAGTTCTTGAATTTTTTTGTGTCATTTTTTTTATTTTTTCTTTGTAGTATATAAAGTAGCGAATCTTCTCATTAGTTATAACGTCAGTAACAACAAAAAAGCATGTAAAATTTTTCCTTTCCGTTTAACTACTTAACAACTACTTGGTACTGCAACTATTATCAATTTACTCTCTTTCAAAAACTTGTTTAGATAAAATCATAAAAAAAAGACTTCTATTTTTTCGCTTTCTGTCATTTTCTTACTTCACTAAAATCCTCTCCCATATACAAACAGACATACAAAAAAGGCTTATCATAATTATCATTAATTAATAAAAAGTATGTGTTGAGTTTTTTTACTCTCATATTTATCGTCATAATGAAATAAGTTGAATTGCATCGAGATGTTTAATGAACAGTAAACAAAAAAGATTCGCGTTGTTTTACGCGTATCAAAACGCAAAGTCACATGACCTTTGAAATAGCTTATTTTTATGCTTAACGTAATTTGTGGCACTTTTCGAAACCATCCCACTATCGAAGTTCCTGCTTATTTATTGATATTTTTGTGTCTTTGACATCTCAATTTTAGGAGGAAAATAAAAGGGAAAATAAAAAGTTAGCCTTTGGGTCGTTAGCGATGATGATTAAAATCAAGTGACAAACTATAGGGAATAAAGAAGGTCTAGCGCTAAGTTTATTGAATAAATTCCCGCGGGTGGGGTTAAAAAATGTCATGAGATCACTTTATTTAATTTACTGACATTTCTGACTTTAGAGTTTTTTCAAGTGAACGGAATAGCGCGAGTTTGTCGCTATGCTAATTTTGGTAAATGATTTACACTATTTTCAAAATATGCGCGGAGTTATAGTTTTCGTGATTTTTGTATTTTTTTTGGACAAAGAAAAACAGTTGGACTGCCATTATCATCTCCGTAGTCCGTTTTTCATTCCATTATCTTTTTTCATTTTTTTATACTTACGATTATTACTCACCATAGCCACTTTTGAATAAAAACAAATTCTGGGATTAAAAAATTAGCGCGATTCATCATTTTTGATCTCTCAATTGTTATCAGATGCATCTGTGAGAAAATATAACTTTTCAACGCGTAACATTCGATTGGACAACATCTAAATGCGAAAATTTTTATTGCAAAGATGACACGTGCAAGAAATGCATCTTCGATATTGATAATTAAATTGGATCGAGAGATGATGGTACCCTAATCAACAAAAAGTGCCAACGCGCAGACCGTTTATTCGGGAACCAATGTAAACAAATAAATAATGTTCTGCCCCGAGCGCAGTTGTGCCATGTACTGTTAAAGGCGTACATCCACGTGATAAAAAGACTCATACACGTTTTCTTATCTGATGGAATGATGTCAATAACCAACAGGCGACGGTCAACAATGATGTCTCAACATTCCATTGTCGGCGTAAAAGGCAATGAGGATGGATGGAAAGGGTCACATTATTTGTTGAGCAAAAATAGAAATAATCGCTTCTGTCAATTAAATGCATGGTAAAAATTTTTTTTGAATTCTTAAAACATATCTTATGCGCAATATGTATGCCTGCTATTAGATAATTGAAATATTTTTAAGCTTATCATGACGAGGATCGAGAGATTTGAATCTCATTTTTGCTTTGCAAAATTAATTAGCGATTTCTTTTGTCATTCCGCTCTTTTATTTGTTCTTACATTAGCATTCATACGTGATTGTGGGCTGTGGGTATATTTTGCTGTTGGATCCTATGCAGAAAAACTATAATTTGTGTGAAAAAATGAAATCGAGAAAAAAAATCTTTGTCAGCAAACGCAAAATAACGAATATACCAAAAAATCGCGCCATCCATGTATATGTTTTCAAATATCACACGGATATTTTGTATACGTGTCATAGCATACAACAAAAAAGAGGAATTCGAAAGTCCCTTGCAGCAGCAGCAGCAGCAAAAAAAAAATGAAGCATCAGACTTATTATTAGATGCATAGCATTAACAATAACATGCCGTTTTGTTTTGTTTTAACAAACACATGATATTTTTTCACATGAGTAATTAATGGCATTTATTTTCTAGATTGCGAGGGACAATTGCAGGCTGTATGAAACTATAATTAAGCAAGAGTTTCACGGCTGACTGGCAGGCAAAATAATAAAAATTAAAAAAAAAAGATTCCCGATGCAATCGATTGACGGACGGACGGACAGACAAAAAAAAAAGGGGATAAATCAACTAAAAATAATAAAAATTCGCTTTCAGTTCATAAGAGGGCTTCTCCCCCTTCAAAATAACCTGATACCCTTATCAAATAAGTACTATTAAAATTCTCGCCAAAAAACAATCGAATCTATTGTTGTTTCATAAGTTCGTGTTTTAAGTTTGGATGATTTTAAATGATCCAATGATGGATGGATTAACCTTAATTTTTTTTGCTTACGAAACAACAATCTAAAATTTGGTAATTTGGCTTTGATACAGTGGTTGACATAAAGGTTAACCTTAAAGTAATATCAGTTAAATGATACAAGTTTTTTTAAATATCTTAGTGATAATATTATTTGAATATTATTAATTATAAGAATAACAAGAAAAGATAAATGGCGCCTTTTTAAAAACAATAAACTTAAGAACAATGAAGGTTAAGGTTTCAATTTGGCGTTATGACTTATTTCGAGATTTTTGGGATTTATTATTAATAATGGGGATATCTACTTAACAACAAAATAATAGATGCAGATATCATCATTATATCATACATGAAGTTGTATCAAGTTTTTTTTATTCCTTAAGGTTGTCAAACCTATGTATGCATATACATAAAATGTCAATTATTTCTTTTTTCTATTTCACTATAAGAGATTATATCGTTTACACATGGCAATGACAACATAAAAAACGAACGACTGAAAATAAAGAGAATCTGATGTGCAGAACTATTGTTCCCATGTATAAATATTTGCGTGATAAAGGATATACAGTAGATATATATACTATATTACTACTACATGCATCAATTATGCAGGATAGCAAACAATATAATTGACATTTAAAACGTGGTCTCATGCGAGTATAGCTCAGGACAACCTGTCAAAGTATAATAACAGTAAATGAACAATATTTGTATTCGAAGAAAGTCCTGGATTTACACGCACGATGATCGATAGTTTATTTTCTAAAATAATAGATTGTCGACCCATTGTTGATTAAGTGAATGCATTTTGCGGTTTTTTTGTCGTTTGATCGGGTGGAACTAACCAATTTGTCTATTTGTAAGAAGTAACAGAAGCATCACGTTTCATGTGAAAATTTAACAAGCTTTTCAGTTAATAAGAAAAACAAGATTTTTCTTTGCATATAATGACTTTATAAAATTTTCTCAAGCATTGAAACGGGTAAGAATGAATACAAGAGCCCAATGATAAATTTCTAAAAACTATTGTTTTATTGTAAACAAGCTTTGAAACAAGAAATTATTTTTTTTTGACAGATAAATATATTTTGACAGGTGATTACGTAAAATCATTGAGAAAATGAATTTTTTGAAAAGCTTGTGAAAATTGCGACTAATACTAAACGTTAATTGATTGTATTTTTTTTAATTACTAAGTATAGATAACAATAAGTTTCTATTTTTCTTAAGGGTTAAGAACCAGACCAGAAACTTGTAATTATATTGAATGTTTCATAAGATGTGACATTGTTCAATTCATTTGACATTCATACTTTATTTTCACTAAGATTTTTGAAAACAATAGTAAGTAGGCATTGAAATTCGCTTGTACATTGTATTTCTGCGAGCTTGTTCTATTATCTAGGGCTCGATTAGCGATCTTATCAGTAGATTTCTAAAAACGTAAATACTAATTTTATCGCGATTTAAATTTAATTAAATCACGCGATAATCAATCTATCGATAAAATCAGTGGTCAAATGCCGTTTGTCGAACTGACAAAACTAGTTTGGGGATTTAAGATATAAATTGTCATATATGCCGTAATTCCAATTTAGCCATTTGTTAAAATTATGAAATTTAATTAATTATTAAATGTCAAACAAATGATTTGAAATAATTTATAAAGTAAATTTCATACAAAAGATGATATTTTATATAAATTTATTAATTCTAATCACAACATTGATATTATTTCATGATTTAATTCATTATATAAAGCTGTATTAGTATTTAAGTGCACTATACAAATGCACTATACAAATCAGAAAGTTATGCATAAATATTTTTTTATTGGACAATTAATTATGTTATAAACGCTAATTAAAGTTAGCGATTTGAAATTTTATAAGTCTTGACTATTATTGTTAACGAAACAATGAAAACGATTCGCATTGCGATTAGCTAATTTCTGGTCTTAAAATTACCACATATTAACGATCTCATTTTAACAGATTTATTAGTGTTTGAAATTCACATTTATTAGAAAAATTATAATATAATAAAGTGTGTGAAATTCACATTTATCGTTTTTTTTTTAATAAAGTAGAAAATTATAATATAATAAATTGGTGTAGAAATATCTTTTGAGAATTTAGAGAATGCATATTTTATCTTCAAAAATATACCATCACTTTGTTATACACCACCAAAGTTTGCATTGGTTATGTGTATCTCCTCTGCTGATTTAAGATATCGTTCGAAAGCTTTTGCTTTCATTCTTAAGAGTTATTATTAGTTCATAACGTATACTGAGACTATGTTATCTAATATATGCATTTAGCTTTCAAAGATTTCTCATATATCACTCAAAGACTTGTTCTCATCCTTATTGATTATCCTTTCATATTCACAGCATTGCATTTTTCACGTGCATCTTAACCCTCCGTTGATTTCAGATACCATTCAAAGTTTCTCTTTTATATCTACCAAGCTTGGTCTTTCACCTCGGCTGATTTCAGATAGCACTCGAAAGCGCCTTGCTAGTTCCCCCCGCCATTTTCAAAAGATAAACCATATTGTCCAAGAACATAATCAAGTTTTGCGCGTATTTTTGATTCGGTCCTTTTAATTTTATTTTATGCTAAAAAAAGTCTCATTAGGAGATTGAATTTAACTTTTTTGCAATCCCATAGAGTCTTAATCAGTATGATGGTATTAGAAATTTTTAACTTAATAATTTTAAAATTCTTTTATGTATAGGTAGATACCTCTAATAAAACTTTTAAAAATAAAGGTTATTATTTAACTATTTTTACCATCTCACCGAATGCATAAGGGATGCTTGTTCACGGCTGAACCTTTGTATAAAAGTTTCAGAATACAGTATTATGAAGAGGAAAGTGTTATATTATTCTAATATCTATAAGGCCTGATTTTTATCAATTTATTCAGAATTCATAAAAAATTTTTTCGTATTTTACTTCAAAAATCAATGTCAAGGCAATAAGTATTCTATGAAAAGAACATGCAGTAAAAAAGATGCATAAAATTTTTTGAGTTTGCATTTTGAAAGATTTACGAGGCAGAAATAAAAAGCCCTTGAATGGTTTCTGAAATCCACGGAAGGTGGTCTTGGTATATGCTATGAAGTAGAAAAAGGAACTAATAATGATGAAAATAAAATATCTGAAATCAGCGTAAATTGAAGATACAGGTGGCCAATGGAATCTGAAAAGGAACTACTGAGAACAAAGCTTTAAACTGGGCTGGTAATAGAGGCCAAACAAAAAATTCGAATTTAAGATCATTATTATGCTTCTAAATTTATATTCTAGAAACGTCACGTTTAGTCACATGTTTAAGTGCTTTCTTAGTTATCGAAAGGAAAAGCCAATTCAAACTGGCCACATAAATTGTCACTCAAAAAAGAAATTAACAACGAAATTGAATCCTCAAATAATATCAGAATAGCAGATTTTATTATAGAGGTGACATTTTTCGGGCTGCTAATTCTAATGTCTGCACCTTTATTCTATCCATTCGAGTATAAAAGGGCATGATTGAATACTCTTAGCTCCATCAATCGAGATACGCTTGGTTGAAGGAAGATGTTTTGTTGTAGGTGAAGAGGTTATTATTGTAGAGCTATCCCAAACAGCTACAACTGTCCTAATTAAAAAAACATTGCAGTTTGTAAGACGCGTCGGATTATCGCTGTCATAAGAGCAAAGAAGCGAGAGCCAAACTAATAATAAAGATAACTAACAGTTTTTTTGTTATGTACAACGATATTAGATTCACTTAAACTTCTCAGTATAAAATGTCAATGTAAAATGAGAAGGAGTATAATTTTCAATAATTCTAATACAAATATACACAGATATATATATTTATAAATTATGTAGGTCCAGACCCTTGAGAATCACATCGGAAGTGTCAGAAGTCAGTTACGACCAAAGATCTTTGGATACTAATCATCCGGTGATGCAATTAATTTTTGCTTGGCAGCATAAATGCAAAACTGAACAATAAGGATTAGTCTCGAGTGTATCAAAAGCTTCTCATTAACCAAACGGATATTTCATTTTACCTCTTCAAAGAGAATATACCCTCCATGGTTCGTATCGATCGCATCGAATTCCCCCTTTAGCTCTGCTTTCGAACGCGTATGAATCCCTATGAGTTCATGTCCCTTCTGAAACTCCTCAAAACTGACACGTCTGTCATGGTTTCTATCAAGTTTACTAAACAATTTGTATATTTCATCATAGTAAAAAAGAAGATCTATGAGGCGGCCGAATTCTTTGAAATCGATGAAACCATCCTAATGAGAGATGTGTGATATTGAGCATAGTAAAAACGCTTTAATATGCCCAATGAAAGCTATTGTTGTAAGGACAGACCCTTGAAGTATCCGCGGCTTTATATGCCCGCATGATGGCAGGCTTATCTTCTGCGAGGTGCGGGTAGAGCTCAATGACAGCTCTATCGATTTCGGCGAGAGACAGTATACCATTGCCATTATAATCGAAGGTGTCAAAAACCTATCGCAATGGTTGAAAATAATAAAGTCGAGAAGTACGATTTACCGTATGTTAATGTTCTCGAAACAAAAATGCTTTGCTGGTTACCTTCTTTACTTTGACTTTGTCCAACTTTTCGGCCATTTTGTCTTGGAGATGAACTGAAACAAAGCTCGACTAAAATTATTCCTGCTATCGCTATAGAATTTACACAAAGGCTCATTTGCATAATTATAACATTTCTGGGAATTTTGCGTCGATCATGTATCTTCTAGAGCAAAAAACATATCAAATGAATTCGATTGGAAAATTCTATGATACATTTTTATTTAGATATGTTATATCTTAAGGATTAAGATTAATCAAAGAATGTATTAGATCATAACACAAGTGGAACCACTTGACCAGCGAAAAGGTTAAATTCGTGACAACTTCAAAACCATTTTTTTTGTCCGATTCTTTTATTTGAAAATAAATAATCAATTGAATAAATTTATCAAAACAAAGTATCCTGTTCACGCAAATATTCCCCAACATCCGCCTGATGAAATACAACAATATCAGTTGGTTGCAGTTTACGTATATCAACTGTAGATCGTGCTGTGACCCCAAATCCCTATCATTAATGAGTGAGTTTAGTTTATAAATCAATTAAACATAATTTATAAGCGTAAATTAAATATAAGTACTATAATCCATTACCAGAGGAACATCAGCCATAGAAAATATCACAATTCCTTGATGCTCCGGCACATCCTCGGATATTCTTCCAACGTGTGCTTTTGCAATATGATTCCCGTACAAGAATTGCATTTCGCCGTTGGGTTTTATCCATAATTTGAACTGTTGATTTTTTTGTCGCGTAAAGACAAATCACCTTATTAGCTTACGCATATGTTCTTTTTATAATCCCAAGCTATGGAAATCTTATAAGTTAACATTAATAAATAAATTGCCAAATAGATACCTTTGCATATTGTGCCAAATAATCCAACGCTGTTATATGAAGTTTGAATTTCCCAGATTTTGTAAATTTACCAAAACATACTCCTACAGACATTAATTGATCTCGACCCACACTTATAGCGCGTCGCATTATCGATTCACTTTATCATGAAAAAATTAAGGTCAGATTTGGAAAATCTTGATTTATAAGTTCATTGATTTAACAATCTCACCTAATATAATACACTCGATCTTTATGTAATCTAAAGCAATATGTTTCATCTGCACGATCGATCAAATGTACAATATTTCGCCCAATACTTTGAAAGCGGTAAAAAAGTTTGAATTTAAAATTCAAAATTCATATAAAACATTAGTAATTATTCAGTCTCTCTTAAAGAATTTAATTGCAAATTTTTTCATTTCTCGAATTACCCACTATTTCGCCAATTTTTCGAAGAATACTTTTGTCTCGTCCTCGGTTAATGGCCTCATTATATGAAAATAAAATCGTAAAGTTTTTGAACGCTGCACATCTACAACACTTATTTATTGATCAACGAGTGACGTCATTCAAGAAAAAAAAATTAAAATTTCCAAAGAATTTTTAGATAGCTTTTCTTTCACTTTCACACATTCCCGTTCGTCTTTAAAAGATGGTAATTATTCTTGGTGTTTAATGGTTTTAAAAATCATTGATGGTTAACATAAATAAAGAAGGGTTATTATGTGAATTTTTTGACGCGAAAAAAGTATTGCCCAAAATAACCACTCTTTAAATTTAAAAGATAAGTTAATATGACCATTTTTTTGTAGACTGCCAGACTTAAGAAGAATAGAAAGAAGCGAGGACATGTTTCGGCTGGTCACGGACGTATTGGTTTGTATCAAATTTTGCTTGGTTATTTTAAAACCAATTCACGTACAATTTAATATATAAAAATAGGCAAGCATCGAAAGCATCCGGGAGGTCGTGGTCTCGCCGGTGGTCAACATCATCACCGAACAAACATGGATAAATATCATCCAGGATATTTTGGAAAAGTGGGGATGCGATATTTCCACAAAACTCAAAATCAATTCCATAAACCGATCGTCAATCTAGATAAACTATGGACACTGGTCACCGAGCAAACACGCAAAGAATACGCTGGCAAAAAAGATGTTGCGCCGGTGATTGATACACTTCAGGCTGTAAGTTTCGTGTGATTTCGAATATATTTTTTTATATTTATAAGCTTGACGTGGTAATATTAATAAAAATGTTATTTAATTAATTTAATTAATGATTTTAAAGGGATTTGGCAAAGTATTGGGTAAAGGTCGTCTTCCTTCGCAACCCGTAATAGTAAAGGCGAGATATGTATCACGCAGAGCAGAAGAAAAAATAAAAAAGGTTGGAGGTGTTGTTAAGCTGGTGGCATAATTATATCCATATTATATATCGATGATTATAATAAATAATTGACAATAACAAATAAATCGAGAAATAAATGCCGTTTTGAATTCCAGCGTCAAAATTTTTATGCAAATCTAAGAATTAGTTAATTTATTGATAAAAAATTGCGGCTTCCTCTGAGAGATAATTAACATGTTTTAATTTATTATCTATCAAAACCAAGTTACAAAAACAGGGAAGTTTTAATTTCATAATTATACAATCTGTTCCAATTCCCGTGCATAATTAAGTGTATGTTGAATAATGCTAGTTGATGGTATCTCAATTTTATTCTCATCCTTTGTGGTAAAGTATATTTTGTTTTCGGCTGGCTTGACCACCCAACCGCGCTATTAAATCCCGAAATAATTTAAATATCATCAATCAGGATATAGAGTTGATGTAATGAAAAAGAATAACGATTTACCTCATGTACAAAGTTCATTACTTCATGAAGACTATTGTTAAAGAAGAGTAAAGTTTCTGCGTCGGCCAAAGGTAAACTAGAATAAGCTTTCTCGCTACAGCTAGCAATTTCATTTCTAATTATTAAAAGGAACAATATTAACAGACTTCAAGGATCTACCCAATCGATCATGAACTTGAGAGCATACATGTATATAAATAGTTACCTAATCGTTCCCATTAATATATCAATAAAGAATAAATATTCAGCAGCAGGGACTTCAGCCCGTGCATTCCACACTTTATTGTAACTACCCTCCATTAAACATTGTTCCAAGTGTACTGGATGTTTAATGTATACATTCTCCAGGAGTTGTTGCGGATCAATGTTCTCTAGAGCGGTATGAAATTCTGCAATACGATTCTGAGAGAGTAGTCGAAGTAGGTTGAGACCGATCAATGGGTACATTTTTGGTGATGGAGGCAATAAAGAACTATTTTTAATAAAGAAGTCTGATGAAATATTCACGTCAAGATAATCCGGGTGTTGATGTAATCGAGGTTACGATCATTGATGATACCTGTAATCACTGTAATAAGTTTGTAATTGAGCAATGTAACGTTCAAAGGATGGAATATCTTTCACTTGGACACTCCAATACGCTCCGATTTCGAGAATGTCACCTTGAGTATTAACAAAATATTTAGATTGAAGTTTTTGGAAATCTGGCTTAGAACATACGTGCAATAAGCAACTCCTCTGTGTTGGGGATTTCGCCTTCTGGAAGTAACAGTGCCAGTTCTGATAAAGAAATCTATAATACAAGTGCATACGCGAACCATTAGACAACAAAGTATATATATATAATATATATATATATATAATGTTTTAAAACAAACGAATCAAACCTTGAGTTTTGCAAGATATGTGCCACATTTTTCGAGGTTAGGGTTAGGAGAATTAAATTCTTTCTTTAGAGGCTCGTAAAGCTGTGAGCCCACAGACACAACAGACATGTTTTGGAGCTTGGAGTTGGGAAATTTTTTACCGCATTCGATTACGTTATTATTATGCTTTTGATCTAATTTCCGTGATCGTACAACACTGACTGTAGCATATAATTTAACGAAACAAAAAATATTTCATTTCGTTAATAATACTAAGAATAAATGGTTCAAGTAAAGAACATTTGCTGTATTGGAGCTGGTTATGTAGGTATGTGGTGTTAAACTAGTTGCAATACTTGTTATGCTTCTTTTTTCTCACCTGATTTCACTATGTGTAGGAGGACCTACTTGTGCCGTTATTGCTTACAAATGTCCCCACATAAAAGTCAACATTGTTGATGTGAACCCGGATCGCATCGCTGCCTGGAATTCAGATAAACTTCCAATATACGAACCGGGGCTTGAAGAAGTGGTGTTTGATAGACGGGGGAAAAATTTGTTTTTCACTACAGAGGTCGAGGCTGCTGTTAATGAGGCGGACCTTATATTTGTCTCCGTTAATACACCGACAAAAAAGAATGGAATGGGTGCTGGTTTTGCTGCAGATTTGGCGTGAGTGAAAATAAAATCTCTCGTATTTTAATTGTGGATGCTAGTAACATTAATGATATATTTATTTTACCTCATCAGGTATGTGGAGTCTGCTACTCGAGGCATTGCTTCGATTGCTAAAAGTTCAAAAATTGTCGTTGAGAAATCTACTGTTCCGTGTCGTACTGCCGAGAGTATGCGTACTATACTAGAAGCAAATTCTACGGGGGATATTCGATTTGATATTCTATCGAATCCAGAGTTTCTTGCTGAGGGTACTGCGATAAAAGATTTATTAAACCCCGATCGGGTACTGATTGGTGCATTACAAACACCAGAAGACAGGAAAGCACAAGAAGCATTAGTAGAAGTATACGCTAATTGGGTATCAACAGATCGCATAATCACAACGAATCTTTGGTCCTCTGAATTATCAAAGCTTGTAAGCTTTCTGTTTTGGATCTTTCTTTATGCATTGTTTTCCATTTAAAATTTTTTATTATTAATGATTAAATAGGCAGCTAATGCATTATTAGCACAACGAATTTCTTCAATCAATGCATTATCAGCAATCTGTGAAGCGACTGGTGCATATGTTGATGAAGTAGCATATGCGTGTGGCTGTGATAAACGAATCGGTCCAAGCTTTCTGAAAGCGTCAGTCGGATTCGGCGGAAGCTGTTTTCAAAAAGACATCTTAAATCTCGTCTACTTATCTGAACAATTAAATTTGCCCGAAGTCGCCGCCTACTGGAAACAAGTGGTCGACATGAATGAATACCAGAAAAAGAGATTCGTTGAACGAATCATCAAAACACTCTTTCACACAATTACAAATAAAAGAATTGCATTGTTCGGGTTCGCATTCAAAAAGGATACCGGGGATACACGGGAATCCGCTGCTATCACATTGTGTAAACATTTTATCCAGGAACAGGCAACAGTTCATATTTATGATCCGAAAGTTTCGGATGAGCAGATATTTCTGGAATTGACGGAGCCAGGGTTGCTAGATAACACGGAAGAAGGTACTTTAGTTATTCATTAGAATTATTATTTGGATTATGGTTAATGAATTATTCTCAATATTCTAATAGTAAAAAAAAGAGTTATAATCACGCGTTCACCTTATGACGCGTCTCAAGATGCTGATGCGATTGTAATTGCAACAGACTGGGATGAATTCAAGGTTAGCAATTTTATCTTTTTTTATTCTTTCATATATATATATATATAATATGAATCAATTAAATTAATTATATTCTCTATCACTTAGAAATTAGATTATACACGCATTTACCAAACCATGCATAAACCAGCATTCATTTTTGACGGTCGTCTTATTTTAGATGCTGATAAATTACAGCAAATTGGATTTAGCGTTCACACTATTGGTCGTCCTGCAATTTAATTTATGAAAAGAACAATAACAACATAGATAAACAACACGTGATTTGTAAAACTTTCCTCGTTATTTATTAAATTATGTCGCGTTTAAACGCGTCTTTCAACCCAATATAGATAATAAATAAAATATTCTCTAAAAAATGAAATATTTATGCGTTGCTGAAAAACCTTCAGTTTCCAAATCTCTAGCACAAATCTTAGCACAAGGCCTTGCACATACTTCACCACGAACGGTAAAAAGATACAAGTAACTTTGTTAAATTCGAATAATTTACAATTGAAGTATTTTATTTAAAATGTAATAGGAGCAATCAGCGAATAAATACATCAAAAATTATATCTTTTCATTCCAAGATAGCGCGGGTTTTCTTAATGAAGTGACCATAACAGCGGTATTGGGCCACCTAACGGAAATTGATTTTATAGAAGGATATAACTGGCAGGAATGTAATCCCATTAGTTTGTTTGATGCTCCCATTCAGAATACTATTTCAAAAGTATGTGCTCGCTTTGATTCATAAGAAAGTCATTGAATGCCTTTCATATGGTATAATAATATTATATTGAAAGAATATGGCAGATGTTGCTCAAAACTTGAAGAATCGATCTTCCAATGTTGAATGTGTCATGATCTGGACTGATTGTGATCGAGAAGGCGAAAATATTGGGAAAGAGGTGGTGGAAGTATGTAGACAAAGAAATTCACGGATTATTGTAAAAAGAGCGCGATTTTCTGCCATTGAATCGCGGTAATATTCTTTATCTCATTTTTACAAATACTGCATTTTATATGCTGACTTTGTTATTATGTCAATGAAGTGCAATTCTACAAGCTTGGTGGGCTTCGGTGAACTCCTCACTTGAACAACTTGATATGAATCAATCAGATGCTGTAGAAGCACGAATGGAGCTTGATCTGCGCATCGGGGCTGCATTTACCAGATATCAGACTTTAGGATTTCAAGGCGAATTTCCGGGCATAGAAAACAATAAAATTATCAGCTTTGGTGAGAAATAAATGAAACCCTGATTTAATTTTTATTTTTTTTGTTTGACGTTCCGTTAATGAACAAATTCTAAATCCGGAAAAGGTCCTTGTCAAATACCAACCCTCGGTTTCGTAGTAGACAGATGGGAGCAGAGAGAAAATTTCACAGTCGAAAAGTTCTGGTATATAGAAGTTACTATTAAGCAAGATGAAAAAGAAGTAACTTTTAGATGGACACGCGAGCAGTTTCCAAAAGAAGAACAATTACAAGAAACTCCAATTGATCAAAGGGAGAAAACAGAGTTTAGCTGCTTTGAAGAATTGTTTGCTGAAATTTTTATGATTAAACTCGCTGGTCATGACGCAGTTGTTACAAAAGTAAATTCGGTTCCAAAATCTAAATGGTGAGAGAAATAAACACATAGGTTTTCACATATCGCAAATAATATTAGAGGCTTTTTTCAAAATGACATTAGTAATTAATATAAATAATTATTGAATTAATTTTTAATAGTTTATTAATGCGAATCGGTCTCTTTTGATAGGAAACCTCGCCCTTTGACGACTGTAGAACTTTTGAAACTTGCATCTAGGTTTCTACGAATTAATTCTGATGCAGCAATGATTGTGAGTAATATGTGAGTATTTTTGATTTTATTATACTACCTAATGATAGCTATTATATTAATTAGGCTGCGGAACGTCTATATCAACTCGGATTCATCACATATCCTCGAACAGATACAGATCAATTTCCACCCAACACTGATTTTAAAGGAATAATAGCCACTCTTAAGGGAGGTGCCGAAACTGCACTCAATAATAGACCTAACGATGCAAACCTGAGAACTGCTGTCGATTGGATTCCATTTTCTGATGGGTATTAAGATATTAATTCTCAATAAATGTTTTTTTTAGCAAATATACTTTCTAATTATTATATCTAAATATTAGCTTATTAGCTGATCAATTCTCCTCCCCTCGAAATGGATCAAAGAACGATGGAGCACATCCTCCCATTCATCCCATAAAATATCCCGATACTTATCTCGACCGCAGAGAAGAGCGAGATTTGTTTAATTTTATTGTACGATATTTCTTGGCTTCATGCGCTGAAGATGCAAAAGGACAAGAGACGACAGTAGAGATTATGGTGGAGGAAGAAACATTTCGTGCTAAAGGCATTTAAATTTTTTATTAATTTTTGTATTCTTTTTATTATGCTTTGATTTAATAAATTATCAATATCTGTTAGGCTTGGTTATTCTTGAACGAAATTATCTCGAGGTATATCCTTATGAGAAGTGGGGTGCGCGTGATATACCGGATTTTCGTGAAGGTCAAGTTTACAAAAATCCGTTAATAGAAAAGAAGGAAGGAAAAACCTCACCTCCCGAGCTATTAACTGAACCAGACTTAATTGCATGTCTTTACGAAAATGAAATCGGTTAGTTTTGTTCGATTTAATTTCATTCTTGACATACAACATATACATCTGTTTCTTGCTGACTTTATTATATTTATATGTATATTTATCAATAAAGGGACCGACGCCACAATTCCAGAACATATTTCAAAAATTTTTGTAAGAAATTATGCAGTCAAAGAACGTCAAGGCCAAAAAGAGTACATTTATCCAACAGATCTTGGTTTAGCACTAGTGCATGGGTACAGAGAAATCGGATTTGAATCTTCATTGTCTAAACCCTTTTTAAGGCGTAACGTAAGAATAATGTATTAATCTTTGGCCTTTAATTATTATCACTTTATTTTTAACAACTTTTTGAATTTATTATTAGTTGGAAAGAGAGTTACAGATGATCTGTCAAAATCAAAAGACTAAAGATGACGTGACTAGAACCTACGTACAAAAATATAGAAACATGTATGATTTAACTCTTCAGGAAGAAGACAAAATCGTACAGGTACAAATTCTTTAATTGTTTATCGACCTGTTATTAATTCATTCAGGCTGCATGCTTTTCATATAGGCGTTTATGCGTCATTTAGGACCGCCAAAGACATTACAACATGACGGTTCATATTACCTTGGTGCCCGAAAAATTGACAGAAGAAGGGTAGGTGTGATTTTAAAAATCTCTAATTAATTATATTTCTAAAAAATAAAATGTTTAATTTGATGATTGTATGCCATAATAGATGCCGTTATCCAATAATAATAATAATTCGAATTTCCCGAGGCCTCCACCGTCTCCACCATTTGGACAAAATAATACAAACAGGAACAACATCAATGCTTCTCAAAATAACGCGTTTAACTTCGGTGGTAATAACACAACCCAATCAAATATCACACGAAGTCCTACTACTAGATTTAACCCTCGTGAAAATTCTACATGTTTCAAGTGTAAACAAGTAAGTTATATTTCCCAAGCTTTTTATCTTTTAACCTAATTTCAATTAATCGAATACAGTCTTCTTCCTTTAAAGATTTGGCATTGGGCAAGCGAATGTACTTCATTAGAGGGATCCTCTATCCAAGCAAATAATGTGTGATTTTCATTATCATTTGTTGAATTTTGTTAATTTACTTTTTATAATAGCGAAAAATTGATTTCTTAGAGCACCAATGACACAACTCGGACCTACTCACGCGATCTCTCCTCTTACACATGTTATATATGTAATGAGGTAATTTGTTTTACTTTGAAATATTACTATCGTTCGTATTTTTATTAATTGACAATACTTTTTTTAGCCGGGACATTTAGCACCTACCTGTCCAAATCGCAACCGACAATCATCATCAACTACTTCATCATCTACATCTGGTACTAGACGTGGAACGGGTCGTGGATCTAGAGGTAGCGGTACACGAGCAAGAGGTACACGTGGCGCCAGGGCATCAAAAAAATCTAAACACAATTAATATGTATATATATAATTTTATACTTGAAAAATAATTCAATAATGTCCCAATATATTTTATTATTGTTTTTCTTTCGATAATGAAAGCATATCAGTTTTTTGTTATGTTTTCCATATTTAATGAGCTGGAACTCACAAGACAAAGAGATATAATTGACAAAGAAGAGGCATGAAGACGAGTAAAACGAAAAGTGATGTCACTCTTGGTACATACAATAACTTCTAGAAGCACATGATAAAGAAAATCCCATAATTTCAAATTTCTTGTTCGGCACTTTATCACCATTTCGTTATAATATATCAAATGCATTTTGCTAATGCGAGAATACAGACCAATAATATCGTTACATCGAGCATTAATTGTGGTTCCGCTCATGCCCATAACGTACATCGAGTTTTACATTTCCAAACTTTCCAGATACCATTGGAAAATTTTATTCTTATCCTTATAAATTCCTTTTCCATAAAGATTATATTGTCCGTATGCATTTCACACTCAGCCGATTTCAGGTACCATTGGAAAGCTTCATCCTTATTAATTCTTCCATGTTCATAGCGTATAGCGAGATTATATGCATTTCCATCCCCTGCTGATTTCAAAATCACCCAACAAAATTTTTTCTCATTATATATAACATAAACTAAGATTATATTTTCCAAACGTATCTCCACCTTTAGTTGATTTCAGATACCACTCAAAGGCTTTATAATCATCTTTATTAGTTCCTTTTCCATATTTATAACATGAACCAAGACTTAATTGTCCATTTACATTTCCACCCTCCGCTGATTTCAGATACCATTCAAAGGCTTTATAACCATCTTTATTAGTTCCTTTTCCATATTCATAACATAAGCCAAGTTTATATTGTCCATCTGCATTTCCACCTTCCGCTGATTTCAGATACCACTCAAAAGCTTTATAATCATCTTTATTAGTTCCTTTTCCATATTCATAACATAAACCAAGATTTAATTGTGCATTTATATTTCCACCCTTCGCTGATTTCAGATACCACTCAAAGGTTTTATAATCATCTTTATTAGTTCCTTTTCCATATTTATAACATGCACCAAGATTGCATTGTCCACGTGCATTTCCACCCTCCGCTGATTTCAGATACCATTGGAAGGCTTTATACTCATCCTTATTGATTCCTCTTCCATATTCATAACATACACCAAGACTTAATTGTCCATTTACATTTCCCCCCTTCGCTGATTTCAGGTACTGCTCAAAGGCTTTATAAGCATCTTTATTGGTTCCTTTTCCATATTCATAACATGAACCAAGACTAAATTGTCCACGTGCATCTCCGCCCTCCGCTGATTTCAAATACCATTCAAAGGCTTTGTACTCATCCTTCTTGGTTCCTCTTCCATTTTCATAACATACACCAAGATTATATTGCCCATTTACATTTCCACACTTCGCTGATTTCAGATACCATTCAAAGGCTTTATAATTATCTTTATTAGCTCCTTTTCCATATTTATAACATGAACCAAGATTGCATTGTCCACATGCATCTCCACCCTCCGCTGACTTCATATACCATTGGAAGGCTCTATTCATATCCCTATTAGTTCCTTTTCCATATTCATAACATGAACCAAGACTAAATTGTCCACGTGCATCTCCGCCCTCCGCTGATTTCAGATACCACTCAAAGGCTTTATAATCATCTTTATTAGTTCCTTTTCCATATTCATAACATGAACCAAGACTAAATTGTCCACGTGCATCTCCATCCCCCGCTGATTTCAAATACCACACAAAGGCTTTATTTTCATCCTTATTAGTTCCTTTTCCATATTCATAACATAAACCAAGATTATATTGCCCATTTACATTTCCACCTTTCGCTGATTTCAGAAACCACTCAAAGGCTTTGTTCTCATCCTTATTAGTTCCTTTCCCATATATATAACATACACCAAGATTACATTGCCCATTTACATTTCCACCCTCCGCTGATTTAAAGGCTTTATACTTATCTTTATTAGTTCCTTTTCCATATTCATAACATAAACCAAGTTTATATTGTCCATCTGCATTTCCACCTTCCGCTGATTTCAGATACCACTCAAAAGCTTTGTTCTCATCCTTATTAGTTCCTTTTCCATATTCATAGCATAAACCAAGTCTATACTGTCCATCTGCATTTCCACCTTCCGCTGATTTCAAATACCACTCAAAAGCTTTGTTCTTATCCTTATTAGTTCCTCTTCCATATTCATAGCATAAACCAAGATTTAATTGTACATTTACATTTCCACCCTTCGCTGATTTCAGATACCACTCAAAGGCTTTATAATCATCTTTATTAGTTCCTTTTCCATATTCATAACATGAACCAAGTCTAAATTGTACACGTGCATCTCCATCCTCCGCTGATTTCAAATACCACTCAAAGGCTTTATTTTCATCCTTATTAGTTCCTTTTCCATATTCATAGCATAAACCAAGTCTATACTGTCCATCTGCATTTCCACCTTCCGCTGATTTCAAATACCACTCAAAAGCTTTGTTCTTATCCTTATTAGTTCCTCTTCCATATTCATAGCATAAACCAAGATTTAATTGTACATTTACATTTCCACCCTTCGCTGATTTCAGATACCACTCAAAGGCTTTATAATCATCTTTATTAGTTCCTTTTCCATATTCATAACATGAACCAAG